TTAAAAAACTACCTAATTTAGAAAATCAAAAAATTTATACTCTTCCATACACACAAAAAAAAAAACACTTTGTACCCTTAAACTTACCAACTCATTTTGTTAATCATTCATATTTTACACGTCGGACTATCAGGAAATTGCCGTTATCTGGTAGTTTCTATGATGGGCTCCTAAGACAAATAGAAGGCCCAAAAAGCTCGTGTCCAAAGTCCAAACCCATTAACCAATCAAACAGAGACGGATCCGGATCTGAATCCGACTGTAGTCGTTGTCCAACGCAAAAAAGCTTATTTTGAACTCCTCACCTTATCAAATTTAAAGATTTTAACCCATCATCTTATAATATAATATTTGTAATCCTTCACTTTATTAGATTTGTAAGTTTTATCTCATTATCTTATACTATAATATTTTTAGCTCATTACCTATTAAAATTGAAAAAAATAACTCTTATTTTATAACATTTTGTTAGTTTCGACTATTAATTCTGTTGGTTGACTATTAATTGATTGTTAACTGTCAAAAACCTTTTTTCAACTAACAGAGTTGACAGAACTAACTTTATAATATTTCATTAATTTTACTAATTAGTTATTAGTTGACTGTTGAGTGATAAAAATCTATTTTTAGCTTACAGAGTTAAAAGTCATATAAAGTGGGAGTTATTTTCTTTAATTTTAATAAATGAGGGGTTAAAACCTATAAATCAAGTAAGATGAGGGTTAAAAGTGTTATAGTATAAGGTAAGGGACTAAAACCTTTAAATTTGGTAAGGTGAGGGGCTCAAAAAAAGTAGGTTTTTGCCTCCTTTCAAGCTCGATATATAAAGTCAGACGAAGAAACCCTAGCTCCTCCCACCAGTGCTTTCCCTCGACTTGCCGTTCCTCGCCTCTTCCCCACCGGACAGCAACCCAGGCTACCTACCACCATGGTAATCCGGCCTTCTACTCTGTAGAAATGATATGTATTCATGTATTTGCTTGCTTTCTCGATTGTATTTTGGAAAATTTTCTGTATTATGGAGAAGTAGAAATCAATTTTGTTTCCTTTGTGTCAATTCCTCGAAAATCATATGCTTTCCTTAGAAAGTATAATGGGTATCAGGAAATTGGTCAGGCAGAACAGATTTGGATGATGTAGTTTTGTTAATCCTTTTTTTTTTTTAATCAGCGTTATGTTGATCAAATTATTTTAATGATTTAGGATTCTTGTCTGGAAGTTTGATCTTTTGGAGAGGAAAGAAAATGATTTAGAAAATGCCTTGGAAGAAATGTTCATTAAAATGTCCGAAAGTTCTTTTTATTTTTATTTTTTTTTCTTTTGTGGAGTTTAGTGTAGCTTTTTGATTTTGGGATGTTGGAAGTTGTAGGACTATTCATTAGCTGTGACTCATCCTAATTTATGCCTGTTAATGTTGTTTTATGTGTGATTCATTAATTCTACTTGCTGGGTTTCATTTGATGCAGACAAAGAGAACGAAGAAGGCTGGTATTGTTGGAAAATATGGTAGGTGCCAGTGTTTTTTTCATAGAGGATTTGTTTATTATTTTGCTCTTTTCTTGGGTTTGTGTGTTGAAAAATTTTAATTCCTTAAGCCTTCTCTTAATGAAGGTACCCGTTATGGGGCCAGTCTTAGGAAGCAAATAAAGAAGATGGAAGTCAGTCAGCACAGCAAGTACTTCTGTGAATTCTGTGGGAAGGTAAGATGTTTCTGATTACCTGCTTGATGATAGCTTCTACTTGTCCTCTAATAATCTTCTATGCCACTGTAGTATGCTGTTAAGAGAAAGGCTGTAGGAATCTGGGGTTGCAAGGACTGTGGGAAGGTCAAGGCTGGCGGTGCCTACACTTTGAAGTAAATATCCACATTTTCCTTACTTTCACTTTGATAATACTTTGGTTGTCCAAAGTAACTAATTGATTGCTGCTTTTGTTAATCATCAGTACTGCTAGCGCTGTGACTGTGAGGAGCACTATTCGGAGGCTGAGGGAACAAACCGAGAGCTGAGCACCGCCATATTTGTTTTCTACAATATTTAAGATTTCTGCATTCCTTAGTTATGACTTCTTAAGATCATTTTTGGGCAATGATGTGTCTTTCCCTATTTCTCACTTTTGTATCTTGGGAGCTGGTTGTGTTTGGTGGCAGGTTAATGCTACCTGATTTAAGTTCAATCGATGGTGTTATTATCACTCATATGTGCTTATTGAATTTCTTATTTCCTAGGTGAAATTAATTAATAATTGTTTTCTCGATGTTGCTAGTCTCAATGATCCCCCCATGATAAACTATGGTTTACAATTACCATGTGTGAAAGATGACGACCATTGCTACCATGTGGTAATTGGATTCTACCTTAGGAGTGTCGGATGGCCATGAACCATGATCCACTAACTGTCTTTAAAGGAAAACTTGGTATGGATGATAAAACTGCTAGGTGTTTAATGGCTGTGGTTTTGGCCATATATATTTGTCTTTCTTGAACAATTTTGGCATAATTTACAGGTATATATGGGGGAGGGGGGAAAATGAGTTTTGTGGGGCTCGAATACGCCACTCATAGGAGTAGAACAGTTTTAACCTAAGGTCTAATACTATTGAGTCGGAACGTGGGGCTCGTATGTGTTACTCATAGGAGATGAACAGTTTTAACTCAAAGTTTAATGCCATTGGGTTGAAATGGGTTAAACCCAAAATTCAATGCCATTGGGCTCGAAACGGGTCATTCTGTCATATGTATTTGCTACGGCCACAGTTAGTCTGATATTTTATCAGATCTTAGGTTTTCCTTTTTTCTTAAATAGAAAATTTTAAATAATAAACATTATTTGCGTTATTAATATTCAACTGTTTTTAATAACTAAATTAAGATAAAAGTCAGATAATTTGCATGATCTTAACAAATTGGTCTGTGTGGGCATAACTACACCCACGTTTAATGGTGTCTAAATTGATAAAACCTTTAGATTGGTGGTAGATTTGTCAATCTTTAAAATTAAGAGACTTGGATGTGTTAAGTGTTATTAAATAAATATATATGATATTATAAATAAATTCTTAAGTAAAAAAAATTAATTATATAATAATATATAATATTGTAAATTTACAATGTTAATTATATCATTTTCCT